ATACACTGAGTGGCCAGATTATTATGACCACCCCATCAGTACTTCATTGACACTTCCAAAAATACTGAATATTGAAAACTTCCTAAGCAAATACTCTCAAGGTTTTATTATTATTATTATTATTATTTGCATAACTAATTCACTTCATTGTACTGATGGGGTGGTCATAATAATCTGACCACTCAGTGTATATGGTTGAGGGGGGGAGATCTGCTTAAAAACTCTGTTACTAATGAGTTTGAAGACTACCACTGTAGGGAGCTTTGAAAGTTTTGAGCATGGGAGCAACATGTAAAGGCCGTGTTTTAAAATGATTAATCTGGCGATAGTGTAAACTGCCACCAAATAGAGTCGAGATGATATTACAGTAGTTCAAGTATAAAGTAATAAGGGCCAAAACTAAGTTACTAGAGGTAGGAAAAGAGAGGGAAGAATGAATAAGTATTTCCGAGAGAGTTTGAGTAGGACTTTAAGTTTTGGCACATTTCATCTTTGAATGTGGAAGACGGAATACGTAAGAATGACTGATCTTTAAGCCTGATTGAATGTTGGGATCAGCACTGGTGATGTAAGAAACTTCCACACCTGTAGAGAATTTTTATAAGAATTTATTTGAGCCAAACTGGCAATTGCCAGGAAGCAAAATTTCAGATGCTCCGGAGAATGACAGTTTTTGCAGTTTCTTTTATGAGTTTGAACAAGATTTTGTGCTCTCTTGATGGTAGTTTATGCTTATTTCAAAGGTTTGTTAACCTAGATGCACAGAAGCAATGGACTGGTCTTGCTTAAGGCAAAAATGAACCTTTTACTAAAGAAGTTATGCCTGGGGTGTGGCTACACACCATGACCTGCCCATTTGGGAATTTATGACCAGATCACCCTGTGGGTTCATCTTGTGTAGAATCTCTGTGTTTATCCACAGACAGTTATTATCAGGGAGTCAAAAAGAAGTGACAGCAGCCTTGGCCAGTGTGGTGCAGTAGGTTGGAACGTTGTTCCATGCACCAAAAGGTTCGATTCCTGGTCAGGGCACTTAACCAAATTGCAGGTTTGATCCCTGGTGCGGTTGCATGTGGGAGGCAACTGATGGATGCTTCTCACATCTCTCTCTTTCTCTCTGTCTCCTCCTCCTCTTTTCCCTCATCCCCTGTCCCTCTCCCTTCCTCCTTCCTCCTCCCAAAGATACATCTACTTTAGACACTGAGGGTTTTTTAGACCTGTGGGCTTCAAATGATTTCCTAAGCATAATTATTAACTGAAACAGCCTGTTTGGCAGCATAGCACAATAGTTAAGAACATTGATTCTGGAGCCAGACTTCCTTGGTTTGAATCCTGACTCCAACACTTCATAGGCAAGTTATCTCTCTGTGCCTCAGTTTCTCCATCTACACTAATAAAAGAGAAACATGCAAATTGGTGTCACTCCGCTACACCTACCAGCCAATCAGCGCAAGTATGCAAATTAACCCAACAAAGATGGCGGCGGTCACAGAGCTGGAGGCTTGGGTTGCCCCAGCGTTGGAGGAAGCTGAGCTTCCCACCTGCCCTGGCCGCCGCTCAAGGGAGAGAACAACATGCAGGCACGGCCAGGAGCCTGAGAGATCAACACAGAGGGGCGCCTGCTCCAAGCCTCCGTGGTGTGGCTGAGGGCAGGCCCCCAGTG